GTGGTCTTAGGCGACCCCGTGAAAGGGTCCTTCGAGAACCGCTGGTCTAGAGGGTCGCGTGAGTCAGAATCAACGCCTTGGCCTTTTGTGACCCTTTTGTGGCCGAAGCTGCCATCTCTGCGATTCGGCTACACGTTTTGCTGTGTCCATCCTCACCAAAGACACAACAGTACGTCGGCAGAGGACTGTGGAGCACGGTACTCTCACCCACGGGGGTGCGGTCCTGAGCTGGAATCCGCCCGCAGCACTGCATTTAGCGTTGAACTTATGAGGTGTCCGGCCCAGCCTGGGGACCCTGCACCCTGGAGGCTGCCTACTGAGCAGGAACACTGAGTGAGATTAGAAAGACTGCAGAAAGCCATGCACGCAGGGAGGCCGGGGTGTAGGGCCCCGAGGGTGGCTTTTGAGTGAAGACTTCGATGTGTCTGGGAGGCCCAGGCAGGCCAGCTGGGGTCAGACGGGACAGCTCCTGGCATCGGGGCTTGATGGTGGGTGGGCAGGAAGGACCTAGTGTGGCCAGACCTGGTGAGGGGGTTGCCTGCTTCCAGCCCTTGGAGGCTGTGACCAGCATTCAATTTTACCAGGAGGATTCTGAGCCGAGGTGGGAACTTCTGCTGGCTCGCTGGCGCCTGGGATGTAGCTGGGGGCTCCGACAGGGACCAGGGCTGGAGGAAGGTGGCTGGACATGAGAAGCAGTCTGAAGGTGGAACCTGTAGCGTTTGCTGTCAACCCAAGGAGTGCGGGAGAAAGGGGTCCGACAACACTTGGGGGGGGGGTCGCCGAGGAAACAGGAGCTGAGCTGGACCACCTTGGATCATAGGTGGGAGCTGACACCAGAGTGGAGCGGGCCGGCAGGGGCAGCATTTAAGCTGAGGTCCCCCAGGCCGTGTGTGTGCACAGACACAGGTGCAGACTCTGAGGCTACTGGGGGCTGTGCTGGGAACGGGTACAGCAAGGGAGGGGACCAGCTGCTTCTGGTGGCTGGTGGGCAAAAGCCAGGGGTGGGGAGGGATGGGCAGAAGGGCTCAGAGAGTTAGGGATGGGAAAACTGGGATGCATCCCAGCTATTGGGGTGTAATGTGGGAGGTGTAGGGGCAGTCCAGCCAGCCAGACTCCGGATGACCCCAGGGGTGCCAGTGTGTGGTCAGTCTCTCAGCGGCTGAGTTCCCAGGAGTCCTCCAGGCCTTTCTCCTGAGATCCTTCGGGGCTGGCAAGACCTGAGACTTTCCGTCAGCAGCCAAGCAGTCTAGGGGGCCAGTCCCGGAGGAGCTGGAAGGAGGGCCAGCTGGTGGACTGGCATGCGTGGGTGAGAAGGATTATGACCAGGTGAAGTGACCCTAATCCTGGGACAGCCTGGGTCACCCCATGATGGCGATGAGGGTCACTCTCGGAAGGGCCCAGCTTGGACAGTACATGAGGCCGAAGGGATGGCTCACCCACAGTCCGGGTCTAGGGCCAGCGGGGAGCTCTGGTGTGGGGGCAGAGAGACAGGAGGATGCCAGCCCTGGCATGATGATGCAGGGGGTGAGGGTGGGGGGTCTGTCTCCTAGTGCTGTCGGAACAAAGTACCACTGCGTGGGTCTTTAGTCGTTCATCCTCCCAGGGTTCTGCAAGGAGGGATCAGACTCAGCAGCCACCCCTTGGTAGGGGTGGGTTTTAAGCATTTGGCTGCTAACCACAGGGTGGGTGGTTCAAACCCACCAGCTGGTCCCCGGGAGAAAAATGAGGCTGCCTGCTCCCGTCAAGAAGTACACTTGCAGAAACCCTCAGGAGCAGCCCCGCTCTGCCCTGTAGGGCCCCTGGGAGCCGGGATAGGCTCAGTGGCAGAGAGCCTTGCCAGTCCTTGATCCTCAGGTGGTGTCTGTCTTTGCGCTGCGTGATCAATCCCACTCCCCTGCTGGCCCTCCCCTTTCAGGGGCATGGGCACCCACTCCGATGACCATGCCAACTGATGGCAAAAAAGAAACCCTGTTCTGCGATCCAGGGTGCTGGCCCAGGCTTAGGGGCAAGGCCTGAAATGTACCTTTTGGGAGGACACAGGTAGCTCCATTCCTAATGAGAACCAAAGGGACTTGTCCCAGCCATCCTTCCGCGGCCTGCCATGCCAGCCCCAGGCGGCCCAACCCTGCAGATACACCCCGAGCCGTGTCATTGGCCTCCCTGAAATGGAGACACCTGGTCAGGTGGACGTCGGGACAGGTGTTACATTTCCACACCGAACTTGGCACACAGGGTTGTGGTGTCCTTCCCCTTTGGCTTCCTGCCCCCTCTCCCCCGCCAGGCTTGGATGGTGCCCACTGTGGCCACAACCACTCCCCAGGGCTGGAAGCTGCAGGCCTTTGTTCCCCCCTGAGTGCTTCCACAGCTGGGCAAAGGGAGCTTAGTCCCACCTCACTTGCCCAGCGAGGGGTGTCACGGGCAGGGACGCCCAGCTACTGGCCACTTTGCAGAAGGAGCCCTGAAAGCCAGCCAGACCCAAGGATAGCAGAGAAGGGGGTGGCCAGAGGGCCAAGGCTGAGAGGGACAGAGCCACCAGATGGGGTGGGGTGTGGGGAGGGCTAAGGGCTGGAAGAGTCACCCGCTGCCAGGTCCCCGTGTGGCCGCTGGAGGAGTGGAGCGGGACTGGGGAGGGGTCACGGCTGTGGGCGGGCGTGTGGGTCTGCTGGCCTGGGGGTGCCCCGATGTAATTCCGGCAGGGGTGGGGTGGTGCAGGCCATCAGCTCCTGTTTGCACTGGTTCAATGATCTGTTTTCCGCTGAGGTGACCTGTGCATTGCGGGAATTGTTCTTGTGCGTGGTTGAGTCGACTCTGGCTCCCGTCGCCCCCTGGGGGTGCCGAAGAGGACTGTCCTGAAGGGTGTCTTGTCCGTCATCCTTACAGAGGCAGGTGCCAGGCCTTTCTGCTGAGGCCCTGCTGGGTGGAACCACCAGCCCCACGGCCAGTGGCCGAGACCTTGGTCACTGGTTCCATCCAAGAACGCCACTTGGAAAGTGAACCGCTCGCTGGCATGTCGCCCACTCCCCGCGCTGTGCCAGCACCTCCTCATCACCCCAAGAGGAAAGCCCAGACCCCTAAGCTGCCAACCCCCATCTCCCTCCCCCATCCCCCTCCCCTCGCCCAACCAGCCCTTGCCTCCCTTCTGCCTCTCCGCAGTCACCTGTTCGGGTCGCTTCCTATCAGACACCAGGCTTGCGGGCTTGGCTGGGCTCCCCTAGCAGCACCTTTCCAAGTCTGCCCACGTGGCGGCAGGTGGCAGAGCTTCGCGCCTGCGCACAGCGGAGCAAGCGCGATTCCCCGCGACCCGAACGTAGCGCCGTAAAGCGAAGAGGCCAAGGCCATTCATTCATGTACACAGGGGGGAAAAGGGTGCCCCCAGGCCCTCCTAACATAACGTACCGAAGCATGCTCTGTGTAACACAGAAGACCCAAGACCCTCCCGGGGTCCTCAGGCCGGGTGGCACCTGCGTGGTGACGCCTAACTCCCGCTGCGGGTGCGCCCGCAGACTCAACGCTGGCTTCTCTTTCGAGGCTTTTTTGGTTTTGTTTTTTGGTAAAAGCAAAAGCCCCCTTCGGACTTCTTTCCGTTGAGAACAGACGCGGAGGGATGTGGGTCTCTCATTAAAACCAAGTTGGCACCAAGTGGATTTTGGAAAAGCAAGGGACACCACATGGTGTCCCTCAGTGACAGACACTGGGGTTGCGTCCACCCTGGATGTGCTCTGACCCGTGCCACAGTGGGCGCTGGTTCACCATCTAGCCAGCTTTCTGGTCGTCTGGGCACTCGCCTCTGAGCAGAATTGCTGGGTGGCCAGCTGGATACTCTGGGGGGCATGGCTATCAGGATGGGTGGTGGAGGCCAAGGAGGGGCTAGGACAGTACTGGGTGGGAGACGCCTGGATCCGTGTAGGGGTGACAGGGACAGGACATAGGCAGCAGTGTGGACAAGGGGGAGTCCTGTATGGGGTCTGGGAGGGTCTCAGCTGGACAGATGAAGAGGTGTTGCCAGGGCAGGGATGTGGGGGGGGGGCATCAGTGGGCAGCTGAGCTCTGGGGACACCTAGGGGACATACTGCTGGTCAGTGAGCTGCTATGGGAGGGCCCTGGATGTAGCTGGAGGGTCAGCTATGGAGGGTGGGCAAGAGGGGGACCGCTGGGAGGCTGCAGCTGGAGGTGCTGTGGAGAGGGCTGTAGCAGGAAGTCCAGTGTGTGTGCTGGGATCGGTGCCCTCCAGCAGGAAGAGAAGGCAGGACAGTGACACTCCCACCACCACCACCGCAGGACACCGTGGGTGCTCTGTGAATTCCCCCTCTGCTGTAAGTTAGGGATTTGCAAGGAGCTGGGGGCCAGGAGGAACCGTGGGTTACATGTTCGACTGCTAACCTCGAGGTTAGCAGTTCAAAACCACTAAATTGCTCAATGGGAGAAAGTTGAGGCCTTTTACTCCCGTAGTGTTTGAGTCTCGGAAACCCACAGGGGCAGTTCTACCCTGTCCTGTTGGGTTGCTATGAATCAGAACTGATTTGATGGCAGCGAGGGAACCAGGAGGCTGACAAGAAGGGGTACCTGGCTGGCCAGAGGAGACTGTGGGAAGTGGGGGCCCCTCTGAATCCACAGAAAGTATGGAGGCTCCTGAAGACCCCGAGAATCCGTTCCTCAATGTGCACCCGTCCACACATGGCAGGCGTGCTTGGCCCAGGGTGATGCGAACAGCGGAGCACTTGACTCCTCACAGACCAGAGGTGCGAGTCCTCCCAGGGGTGCCTCAGAAGAAAGGCCTGGCTGCCGGCTTCTGAGAAACTAGCCATTGAAAACCCCTGGCACCAGAAGGGAGGTCTCTGTTCTGTCTGCACAATTCTTCCATCAGCATAAAACAGTTCTAAAAAGACAAAGTCAGTGGACAGAAAAGTAACAGGTAGAAAATCAGGGGCAGGGCCAAGGGAGTGGGGGGCGGGGCTGGGGGGGCATCTGTGGCCCTGACCTCTGGGCGTGGTTTTCTGCAGACTGGAAGCCGGGCATGGCGGTGCCCTGGGACATCGCGGCAGTTTACCTTCTGCAGGGCAGCTTCTACGGCCACTCCATCTATGCCACAATCTACATGGACGCCTGGCGCAAGGACTCGGTGGTCATGCTCGTCCACCACGTGGTCACTCTGGCCCTCATTGTCTCCTCGTATGCTTTCCGGTGAGCACAGAGCTGGGCTGGGGCCGAGGAGCCTGTAGGAGAGAGAGTCGTAGTCCTGGGCGCAGTCAGGGGAGAGGCTGGAGGAGGAGGCCTGAGGAGGGTAAGTCTCCCAGCCCCATGCCAGCATCTGTCCCTTCTCAGACCCCCACCTGGAGCTAGGCACGTAATAGAGACCATTTAGATAGGCCCGAGGGTCCCTGAGCTTACAGCGGCCACTACAGCTCACACACGGCCTGAGCAAGGGAGCCAGACCTTGCCGAGCACAATGGGCCCGAGTCACCTGTTATCCATTCTGCTATTACAATTAATCTCCCCTGCGGGCTTAGGCTCTCTGCTCGGGCGGTCTTCAAGAAAAGGAACGTCTTATTCACTGTGGGCTGGAAGGCCAGGTCCAGGGGCTGGGGAGGCCCCTTCTGTGCACTCTGGGAAAGCCCTGTTGGTTGCCGCTTCTCTGTCTCCGGCCACCCTGGTTCCCTGGAGACCTCCAAGTGGCACTTGCCTTCCTTCTCTGTGTGCTGGCTTGTCCCTGTGACTAAGCAGCCTCTTCTGTTTGTTTCTTTTTATTTTAAGAAATCATTTTATTGGGGGCTCTCACAGCTCTTATCACAATCCATCCATCCATTGTGTGAAGCACATTTGTACATTTGTTGCCATCATCATTCTCCAAACATTTGCTTTTACTTGAGCCCTTGGTATCAGCTCATTTTCCCCCTCCCTCCCTGCCCCCTCCCTCCTGAACCCTGGATAATTAATAATTTTTATTATTGTGTCAAGTCTTAACACTGTCCGATGGAAAGACAACGCTTTCTGCCTCCAGAAAGAGTGACAGTCTCGGAAACGTACGGGGCCGTTCCACCCTGTCCTTTAGGGTCCAGCGAGTCGGCTGTGACTCAATGGCACTGAGGTCCTCTGATAGCGCCAAAGTGAGTGGGTTTGAGACACGCCCTCCATGCATAGGGCCTCATTAGCATACCCAGAAAGCCCTCTGACCAGGTGGGATTGTATCCACAGGTAGCGGGCAGTCCACCACTTCCTTTCTGCTGGGGACAAAGTTCGACCCATATCACCAGCTTCTTTTTCCTTTTTAATTTTTTTTAATGTGGCTACTCCCTAGATCTCACTGCTCTGAAGTCGATTCCAACTGACAAGTGACCCTGTAATACAGAGTTGAAAGGCCCCCGTAGGTTTCCAAAGTGGACTCTTAAGGCAGTGGTCCTCAACCTTCCTCATGCCGGGACTCTTTCAGACAGTTCCTCATGTGGTGGTGACACCCCCCCCCAACCATAACATTATTTTCATTGCTACTTCATCACTGTCATTTTGCTACTGTGATGAATCCGGTGACCCAAATGAAAGGCTCGTTCAACCCCCAAAGGGGTCGAGACCCACAGGTTGAGAACCGCTGTCTTCAGGAGAAGCCTCCTCTTTCTTCCACAGAGCAGCTGGTGGTTTCATACCGCTGACCTTGTCGTTAGCAGCCCCACGCATAACCCACTACACCACCAGGGCTCCGGCCAATGTGGCCACTCAAAAAGCCAAGTCAAACCAAACCCAGACTCGCTGCCATCAAGTCAGTTCTGACTTGTAGCGAACCTGGGGGCCAGGGTAGAACTGCGCCTGTGAGCTTCCCAGACTGTAAGTCTCTTTTTTTAAAAAGTATTTGGGATTTAAGACATATAACATATCATTCCATATTTCAGTCATGCCCAGTAGACTTGTACAATTGCTGCCACGATCGGTACAAGAGACCGTAACACTTTACAGGAGTAGAAACCCTTATCTAGAGCTGGCTGGTGGTTTCGAATCCCTGCATTTGCGGCTCGCAGTCCAGCACATAACCACGAGGCCGCCACCAGCGCTCGATAAATGTGTTCGCTAGAAACTTCAAATGACGGCCGCGGCTCAGTGCTGCTGGTTGCCTGGCCGTAGGGGCTGGTCGAGCCTCTGTACTAGTACATCCAAACATCTCCGTCCCCTGTCTCAGCAGGGACTCCAGGATCGGGCCGTGTCGGTACAGAACACGTCCCTCATTCCAGACAGTTCTATGGGGCAGGATTCTACCAGAGCAGCGGTCCTCAACCTGTGGGTCTCGACCCCTTTGGGGGTCGAACGACCCTTTCACAGGGGTCACCCGATTCATCACAGTAGCAAAATGACAGTGATGAAGTAGCAACGAAACTCATGTGATGGTTGGGGGGTCCCCACCACATGAGGAACTGTCTGAAAGGGTCCCGGCATGAGGACGGTTGAGAACTCCTCTCCCAGAGGGTGGAGACAGGAGATGAAACCAGAGGAACATGGGAAAGGAACATCATCCTATTTGCAGGTGCTAAGAACTGTGGAGGGGGACATGGGGTCACAGAGGTGACCTCTGCTAGGGAAGTCTGCCTGCAGCTGAGACCTTGAGGCGGCACCTAGGGTGGTCCCTGGTGCTGTTGGAAATGGCAGTGAGCTTCCGGAGAGCTGTGGATGGCGGCTGGGCCCGGGGAGACAAGGATACATCAGAGAAGACCCCCGGGAGCCCTGGGCAGGGCGGGCAGTGAGGTGGGGGGCGAGGTCAGGCTGCTGCCGGCCTGACTGGCGTGGCCTGACCCTACACTGGGCCTGGACGGATGGCCGGCAGGGGAGGCGTGGCCAGGGCCCCTGGCGTGACCTCCCGCCCCGCCCCGCCCCAGGTACCACAACGTGGGGGTGCTCGTGTTGTTCCTGCATGACGTCAGCGACGTGCTGCTGGAGTTCACCAAGCTCAATGTCTACTTCAAGGCCCGGGGCGGCGCGCGCCGCCGGCTTCACGAGCTGGCCGCGGACCTGGGCTGCGCCGGCTTCTGTGTCAGCTGGTGAGGCTGGGGGGCTGGCGGGAGGAAAGGGGGGGCAGGGAGAGAGCCACGTTGCGGAGAAAGGGTAGAGGGGGGACTGACCGGGGCTGGGGGACAGGCAGGTCAAGAAAAGGACAGGGGGGGAATTTTATTTTATTTTATTTATTTTTGTAGAAAAATAATTTAATGATATTTTGCATTTTTATTATCATTGCATTTTTTAATTAAAAGGTCATTTTATTGGGGGCTCTTATAACAATCCATACATCAATTATATCAAGCATATTTGTACATATATTGCCAACATTATTTTCTCGACATTTACTTTCTTTTTTTTAATCATTTATTATTTATTATATTATTTATGGCATCCAGTTTACAGTATTACATATTTCACATGCAGTATTATTATACATAGTTCTTACGGGAATTTTATTTTTAAAGAAAGGAAAGGACAGGACAGAGAAGGGGCGTGCCAGGGGCAGGGTGGGGCCAGAGGCAGATGGACACCCCCCTCCCGCCCCCGCCCCAGGTTTTGGTTCCGGCTCTACTGGTTCCCGCTCAAGGTCCTGTACGCCACGTGGCACTGCAGCCTGCGCTTGGTGCCGGACATCCCCTTCTATTTCTTCTTCAACGCACTGCTGCTGGCGCTCACCCTCATGAACCTCTACT